ATCAACTAATTGGATCCCCCACGAGGGGATCTAATGTGGGATCCCTTACCTAGACCAAGCACAGAGGGTGATGTCCTCCTGATCCTCGAGGGCCTGAGGTGGCCCATGGGGCCATCTGATACTCAGGTCTTCATTTCTGTTTTGCAAAAGGATTGGGGGTCCAGAGTTAGCCAAACTGCAAGGTGTGGGGGCACAGTCCCCAAGACGTGCTCACTTCTGATGAAATAGTATCATCAGATGCTGGGGGGGGGGGGTTTTCTCCAAACTGTCCTCAGCTCCAGTAATTTCCTAGAAGGACTCAAGAACTCAGGGAAAGCCACATACTCATGGGTCACCCCTCAGCGCTGAGGGCTATGTACAGACCCCACACTTGGACTCCACTACTGAGTGAGTATGAGGAGGGTGGGAGCACTCTCCCTGAGCACCCCCGGCTCTGCACCCCTGGTGACGGCAGCAAGAACTTGTGGAGGGGCCGTCTGGTAGGGATGGTGCCAGAAGACAGGATGGAGACCAGGCCACAGTCCCTGTCTGAAGACAACTCTCCCTGCACGAGCTTCTTTCATGCTGCTGTTCTGCAGGGTGACACTCATTTTCCTCTTTAGCCATGTGTCCCTTCACCGTGTGTCCTGATAACTTTGAGGTTAATCAGCTCAAGGCACTCACGGTTCATGGTAGAAAATAGGCTGCAATCATTTGGAAAGAGGTTTCCAGACCTTTCTTTGAGAAAAATTTAAATGGCTGAAAGCCTGGATGCCCTGGATGGGTGTGCAGGGGAAGCCACCAAGGACATTTATCTCTGCTCTTCTTTGCATCAGTGTCTGAGAAAACAGTCATTATGCTGAGAACCACTGAATGCTCTCCTGAAGGAACAGATCTGCTCCACCTAAAGTTTCCCACTGCATCCCACCTTTGTGTAAAACAGATTCCCCTCCATAAAGTCTGCATCTCAGCGATTTGCTGTTTTCTGCTCCAGGGACTGAAAACCCACGCAAGCTTGAGCTACTTCAGCCACCACCACTGACCGCGCCCTCACCGTGGGAACACGTATTGCTTGTTTTCAAGAATCCAGGTTGGGGGCATTGGCCTTTGCTTGTTTAATGGATGCCCTCATTCTGTGTAGAAGGACGTCCATGCATGGGGGGACATTGGGTAACACCTCTGCCCTCTGTGCACTAGATGCCACTAACTGGCCCCCCTCCTTCCTGTGCCAACTAGTTCTGACAACCAAAAATATCTCCAGACTTTGCCCAAATTCCCTGGGCAGCAGCATCGCCCCCAGATGAATACCACTGCTCCAGGGATGATGAACATTGTCGTTATTGTTCCAATTGTGTTCCGTGTTCTCTGTGAGAGGAACATCTGCAGGTTTGGGGTAATTTTCACAGGAAACTGAGCCCTTATGCTACAAAATGTTGGACTTTCTCTTTGAAGTGACCAGTGGCATTGCAGAATGACAATGTTGAAATGTAATCAAAAAGCTGTTTAGCGCTTGTGGGTAGAGTCCCAATCCTCCAGATTATATTAGTTCATAATATCAGATAGTGTTGGGTCTTTTCTGGTTGACAAATTGGATTTTTTTTTAAAGCAAGGCAGTTGGATTTATAATATTTAGGATTAAAGGGGAGAATGAGGGGAAAATTATTTTCTCTTGCCCTTAACTGAATTTTAGAGAGTCTGTTTGGAAGAGCAAGATCAATGTTAGGCAGAATGTGTGAAGACACCTCATTAGGACGGATGTAAAAACAGACTTAAGATGCTTGGAGACTCAAAGAACAATGACCTGTAATGGACTCTTTAATACATTTTTTTTAGTTGTAGATGGACAGAATACCTTTATTTTACTTATTTTATGTGGTGTAGAGGATCAAACTCAGTACCTCACACATACAAGGCAAGCACTTCACCACTGAGCCACACCCCCAGCCCTGCAATGCACTCTTTGCTCAATTTTATGTGTCAACTTGGCTGGTCCGTAGAGCCCAGATATTTGGTTAAACATTGTTCTAGATGTTTCTGCAAGGGTGTTTTTGGATGTGGTTTACATTTAAATTGAAGACCTTTGTGTAAAACAGATTCCCCTCCATAAAGTGGTGGACCTCCTCCAATCTATTGAAGGTCTGAACAGAACAAAACCCGCACCCGCTGCCTGAGCAACAGGGGATTCTGCAGAAGAGAGCCCCAAGACTTCACTGCAACACATTTCTTCCCGGGCTGCCAGCCTGCCAGCCCACCCTGCAAATAGAGAATTTGCCCAGTCTCCATAAGATCATGAGCCAATTCTTTAAAAAAGTTTGTGTGTGTGTGTGTGTGTGTGTGTGTAGTCACATGCCACTAAGGACAGGGATACGTTCTGAGAAATGCATCCTTAGGTGATTTTGTTATCTGCAAACACCTTAGAATGTACTACACAAACCAAGATGGCGGCCACATCCCTATGCAATAGAGTCTTATAGGCCTACCACTGTATATGTGGCCTGTTGTGGAACAAAACATTGCTGTGAGGTACATGACTGTCTATCTACAACATCTTATTATTTCAGGTTCTCCAGAGAACCCTGACTAATATAACCATTCCGAGGACATTTCAGGTACTCAAAGTTTCATGGTTTGCCACCGTCACCCACTCACCTCCCTGTTCTTCAGGAGCATATGGTTATAGAGGCCTCCTGGGAGTGTTACGAAATGCCTGGGGTTTTGTTTTGTTTTGTTTTTATCCTGCAGAGGCCAGCAGGATGCCAAGTCTTGGGGGAAAAAACTTTACTTTGAGTTTGTAAAAAGAAGCATTTAACCAGCGCAGCATCTGTGGAGTCAGGAAATATGCAGAACAGTGGAAGAACACCATGGGCTGTCCAGGCAGGAGGCAGATGTTCTGAAAATAATTAATTCATTACAAACCTGCTAGGTCAACAATATCTGCCTTTCCCCACAGTCCCTGCCCGTTCTCTGGCTGTCTGAGCTCAAGGCTCCTCCCGCCCAGGCTGTGCCCTCCCCTTGGCTGGAGGTCACTCCCATGTCTCCATTGCCAGGGCTCTTGAAAATGCTGGGCACATCTCACCCTGTAGCTTTGCGGCCGTGTGCGCATGGGTGCTTACCTGACGCCTGAACCTGGGCTTAGGGAAGAGCCAGGACTGGTTGCATAGTTCTGTGCGAGTGTTTGTGCCCTTCCAGTCAATATTCGAGCTTGTGACACAAGACTTGATCCTCTGGCCCATGACCTTGCACCAGCCCACCCTGTTGGTAACCACGCCTAAGTGAAGTGGATTTTTTTTCCTCCAAGGTCTGTCTCCGGTCACTGTTGGAGGAAGTCCTAAGATTGGCTGGAACAACTCCACTTGCGGTCCATTCTACTCTCAGTTCAGTCTTTCAAGGCTCAGCCAGTTTTGAACCACCTTCAGCTGGCCCTGTGTGGTGCATGCTCTCATCTTCTCCTTGCCTCTTCTGCAGAATGAGAGGCTTTGCCGAGAGGCTGAGTTTGTGCTTCTGCAATGGGTGCCATTAGCTGTCCTCTTCCTGACCTCAACACCATTTCCCTGTGTCCACATCTGCTTCTGTCCCCCTCATCTTCCCCTCAAGGGGAGGCTCATGAGCTATGGGAACCAGGGGCAGACAGCTCTCTGTAAAGGGGGGGGCATCTGCCCCTTTGCGCCCCCTTCTAGTCTTCTCTCTCCACTCCTGAAGATGGCTCTGCTTGGTGACCAGTGGCACTGCCATGAACTGAGCATGGCAGGTGCAGTGATGGAAAGGTGATTTACTAAAGGAACAATTAATGGACTGGTGTGGCCAGGAATTTAGCAAGAGGTTGGTGCCCTGGGTTGACTAGTGTCCTCCTCCCAAAATATTCAAGCACTGACTCCCACTGCCTGTAGATGTGACCTCATTTGGAAGTAGGGTTTTTGCATTTGTAATTGGTGAAGATGATGTCACATTGGATCAGAGAAGGCACAAATCTAATGACCGGTGTCCTTTGGGACATTTGGACATAGACACACAGAGAAGGGGATGGCCATGTGACTGCAGAGTCTGAGATGAGATTTATGTTTATATTGCTCTGAGCCAGAAAATGGCAAAGGTGGCGGCTGCCTGAAGCTTGATGGTGGGAAGGAGCCCCTCTTGTGCCTTCAGAGGGAGGACAGATGTCCTGCCAGCACCTCGACTTTCAACATCCAGACTCCAGAATGGGCAGAGGACGCGGTTCTGTTGTTTGGAGCCACTCAGTTTGTGGCTCTATTATGGCAGCAGCAGGGAACCAATGCAGGGACAATGGTATTTCTCAGTGCCAGGGAAACCCCCGGGGTCAGTCCCGTCCATGTCTGATGTGTGTGTGGTGCTTCCATCCACCACTGCGTATTGATGGAGAGTATCGACTGCCCCATGATACAAAATGAGCAAGACCCTCAGCCCTGTCCCCAGGAGGCAGGACACCCACATACAAACAGCAGCTTCCAGAGGCAGCAGGATGTGAGGGAGAGGGCTGTAGGGAGTTGCACTGTGTGATAACGGCCACACCCAAGCTTGGTCCATCCTGACCTTGCAGCTTCCAGGGAGAAAATTCCAGGGGTCCCTCCCAGCTCAAACTCAGACTTGGTCCTGCACCTCTGGGTTGTCTGCCTCCTGGTCTCCTCTGGGAGGCCTTCTCATGCAGGCAGATGTTTGGCATATAACAAAGAACCAGCTACCGACCACCACCTCTAGGCTTACTATGAGTGATTCTCTTTAAAATCTGTTCCCAATGGGCATGCTCAGCACAGGGCCAGCCCAGTTGCTGGGCCCAAGTAATACATTTCCACCAACTATATTAAGCTTTTCCATGTTTTGCCAATCTCAGTAGATGATCATGCTCCAGTTGCCAGGTGTTCAACAGTTCAGATCTGTGACTGGGAAATGATTTTTTGAAAATATTCATCACGTATGCACATTTGTATTTCTACTGAAACCACCTGGCAGCCCCAGGAAAATGTAAAAGGGAATCTCTGAGATGTGAGAGAAACAAGCCATGAGAATTGATGCGGGAGCTTTATTAGAATCTCTATTATTCTTGCAGTCGGCGATTGATAAACTCATTCAGAAAAGCACTTGCTTTCAGGGATCTAGAGTCCACAGTCGCGTGTGCAATCTAGCTTGGAGTTTATGGAACGTGCCTCTGGAAAAACTGGCGTGCCTCTGGCGGCAGGAGGTCCTTTCAACAAGACAGGGGCAGGCTGCTCCTGTGGCGTGTTCCATGGCAGTACTGCCAGCCAGGCCTGGGTCTCCAGAGACACCCTCTGTTCATACCTACGTTTCAGCGATTAAGAAATATGAAATCGGCAACGTGGGCCTTGAGGGTTATGCCCTGGCATCCCAGGAAACCAATGCTGCCCATCAATGTGGTGCTGGGCTTCTCCCCCAGGGAAGAGGACAAGCTGACCTGACCAGCTTGCCTTGGTTTTTGCCACCTGACACACAAGCCTGGAGAAGGTACCAGAAAGGCTGGTCACATGAAGGATGCCCACAGTGCCACCTGGACCTGCAGCAGACTCCACTGCTGGTGGGTGGGACGGTCAGGCACACCCTCTCCTGAGCAGCGCTCCAGAAGCTTCTAATGTCTGCTTTTTTGGAAAAGCAGAGCACACCATAGCCTCAAGACAAGGACTAATTTAGAGCATCTGGGAGCAGGAGACACGTGTAGAAACTGCACAATCTGATGTGCCCAAGTGAGGGTGGGTGCGGGCGGATGTGTGCCTGGGTAGGAGGGATTCTGGTCTCAGGGAGACAGACCACGCTCGGGGGGACGTGGTGATCCCTGGGGAGGCAAAGGGCAGGCCTCGACCCCGTCTCTCATGCTTTCAACTCTTGTGTGAAGCACCCCAGAGCTACCTGTGTCCTCCTCCACCCTGGAAGGTGGTCACCTCCAGGCCAGAGCAGCCCTAGAGGTGACTGCTGAACCTTGAGGTCTGTCTCCTTCTTCCCAGAGCCTGGACTGAGACGATCTCACTGGGCAAGTGCTGCTGGGATCCCCCTGCCCACGACCTCAGCACAATGGCCTCTGGAAATAAAGAGCCTTTTCAGAGCCGACCGCTTTCCTTTGAGTCCTGTGATGCTTGGGCACCTTGTACTGAGACCCTTGTTGCCCAGGGGGGGATTCAGTGTCAGGTGCCTGCTCAAAGGCCCTCCCTGAGACCTGCCAGTCCAGCCCTTATGTCATACCCTCCCGTGGCCATGCAGACTGTTACGTTTTTACTAAAAAGCATGAAATGGTTGCGCTTTTCCTTAACCTTATTGAATCTTGCCACACTGTGCCCTCTTGTTCTCAGGACCACAGGCAGGACTCCAGAACACCGCGAAGACAGAATTAGGCTAAAGGGTGAAGGACTTCATTTTACTTGGGTCTCAGCAAATTCTGCTAATGGCACTTCTGGGGGAGGGTGCGAGGATCTTTCAATGACATCCCACCAAGACTCCTAGAACACATTTGGGGTTTGAATGTTTCTAATTTTAAATATGGAAATTTAAGACAAAGGAAGGGGTGCTTGGCTTTGTCTTAGATTTCCCAGGTTGAGCAGCTCTTGGAGAAGGTGCTGGGTCTCCACTGGGGAGGTCACAGGGAAGTGAAGCCAGGTCTGCTGGGGTGTCGGGGTGCAGGTGCTCCTTCACTTGCGAGGCTGCTGGATGTGCTGGGTCCTGGGGGAAGGGTGCTTGTCTATGGAGGCGTGAGGCTTCTGGTGAGCCACCTGTGCAGCCGCTGGGGGGAAGTCCTTGTCACCCTGTCGGAGACACAAATGAGCCACTGTGAAAGGGTGGGCTAGGTGCCAGGGCCCCACACCCAGCGTCCACTGGTTTCCTGCAGGGAAAGCAGAGGCTGAGGGGCAATGGGGCAGTGACCTCTCAGCAGCGAGGAGCCCCTCTCCTGTGGCTGGGGGCCGAGGCTCTCAGGGGGCCTCAGGACCAGGGGCCGGTGGGGGGAGGGCAGCACAGAGACTGTGTTAGCTGGCTGTGCCCCAGGCCACGAGACAGATGCACAGCAGGACTCGCTCTGCCCTGAGCTGGGTGCTGGCAGCTTCCCCTGCTAGGTCTTTGTGATCATCCACATTAGGGGCGAAAGGACCAAAACCTGAGTCTCAGATTTGCCATCATGGCTGTGGGCTAGGCCTGGGTGCTGGTGGGGAAGGAAAGGCACAGGAGAAGGGGCCTGGCTGTTTTCCAGGGGGTGGGGGGGTCAGTTGGCTTCTTGCACCAACAGCGGGCTGTGACGGGGCTGTGCTTGGTGGAGCCTGGCCACGGGGTGGCCTCACATTTGTGCTGGTGTGGCAGACATATCTGTCTGTCCCAGGGTGTCTGGATGGCTGTGGCTACAGCTCCATCACAGAGCTGTCCTCACTAGTGGCCCTTTCTTCAGGCATGGCGGGATCAGGACCTGGATGTGTGGAGAGCAGCAGAGCCCAGGTGGCACTATGGACAGAGCCTGCAGACAGGCAGAGTGTAGTCTCCCAGATGAGGGGGATTCGAAGGGTTAGGGTGCAACTGAACCATGGGTTTAACTCAGCAGAGGGCAGAAGAAAGAGCCATCGCTAGGACATAGTGGACGACGTAGCTATGTGCCACTAAAGCTATTCATGGACACCAAGTTGTATTTCTTAAATTCTCTTATGTCGTGACATGATTCTTATGTTGATGTTTAAAGTCATTTAAAAATGTGAGAACACTTTTAGCTGAGGTCACTGAAGAACGCCTGCCCCGGGGCATGGTTTCTGGAGCCCTGGCTGTCTGCAGAGGGCAGGGGCAGAGGCAGGTGGTCCCTGACCACGGGGCAGTCAGGTCCCCCTCTGCGGCAGAAATGTGCTGCACGAAGGAAACGGGACAAAAAAGAAAGTAACAGGCCCTGGGTGGGTGGGGGGGGAGGGGGTGCGCAGCGCTGCGGGTTAGTCTAGGAGGGGTTCCCAAGAACCAGCATTGGGAGGCGGTGCGATGCTCCCATCTGATGCACGGCGTGGGTGCTGCAGGTGCCGCAGGGCGGGCTGGTGAGCTTACCCGGGCGATGACTCCCGAGATGAACACGGTTGGCTTAGGCGGGCTGGAAAACAAGGAGGGAAAGGCGGGTTTAACAGGCAGGCCACAGAAGGCGACATGCAGCTGGAACGACGGAGGCTTCGGGACTGAAGAGGCCCAAGGAGGATGGGAGCAGACCCCTCCCTGGGTGCTGGTGTCCACAAGCACTAGGTGGTGGGGCTCTAAGTCTGAAGGCCCTTTGGAAAGGCTACTAGGAAGCTTTGCTCTGAAGTGAGTCCAAGCAAAGAGTGAGAGAGGAAAACAGGTGGCAGAAGACACAGCCCCAAAGAACTTCTTTTGGCTTGTTTTTCGGTCAGTCCTCAAGTTCTCACTGTGAGGAAGCTGGGCAGTTCTGATTTGGTGGGATTGTGGAAACAGGGAAGTAGCTTGGCTCTGGGGTGAATTTCCCTCCCTCTCCACCAGGGGATTCCCTGCCCAGTGTCCCCATGGAGTCCATGAGTTCCAGAAACTTCTAACCAGTGAGACCCCACAACCGATGCAAATTCCTGGCACCTGTGGACCACCAAGCATCATGGACTCAAGGTCCTTATGATGGCAGCTGTCACTTTTTCACCTGTAAATTAATACCCATCTTCCCAAACTGTCAACGGTATTGAGAGGGCAGAATATGGCACCCTAGTAGCATATGAACCTTCATGAAGAGGAGACAAACCAAAGCGTGTTGGTGATGACCACTGTTAACATGCGGTCCCTGTCTGTGGACAGATGCACATGCTTTTCTTAATAATTTGAACCTCCAGCTGCCCTGGGAGCCTCTCAATGAGATGGTCCCATCATGGCTGCTTAGTGGCCTTCAGACTTAGGGCTGAAGCAGAACTTAGCAGTAGGAATGACCCCAGTCCAGTCATCCCAGGGCTGTCTGCGGGAGCACCCACAGGAGGCCACTCCTCGGGCCTCTAGCCCAGCCAACACACCCCTGCCCACCTGCTGAGGTTTAGCTGCCCTTTGGCTCTTACTCATTAAGGGAGATAGTCAGTGAAACTGTAAGGAACTCAGAGTAAAGAACATGCTCTGACAACAATCAGGTGACAGTGGAGAGGGAGGTTCCATGGGTGCAGCTGCGCTGGGTACGGCCAGCTTTGTGTTATGTTCTGCACAATGTGGCTAGTTAGGCTTCAGGAGGGAATTTCTGGATCATTATACCTAAATTGATGGACACTTCTGGGTTAGGGAAGAGAGGAGGGGACAGATAACAGGGTTCCCACAGTAGTGGCCTCCCACAGGGTGGGGATAGCCCTTTGGAAAGGAATCCGGAAATGGTAAATATTAAGCACCACAAATAATTCAAATTTTCATATTGAATTATCATTAAATATTTTTAAATGAGTAAATACTGATGAATAAAGAAGTAAAAATTCAAGTATCACCTTTCAAGCCTACTTTGGGGATATATGTCTTAAAATGTACACTGCCTATCTGTGTGCATCCAGATCACACATGATGGGTGCCCGTCGGTAGTGATGGGCATGCATCAAGAGCATCACGCAAGCTCTCCCGTCACCGGAGCCCACCGGGGCTCCAGGGAGTCAAGTGGACTGGAGGGAGGGCAGGTGTGTGCACAGTGTCTGCCATAGTGGCTCAGGAAGTGGCTGCAGCCACACCAACCCTGTGTTTCAGTGTTGTAGCCATGGCAGGCCCTGTTCACCCTGTTGGGGTTGGTGTTTGAGACTGAGGAGTGGTCGGCGTGACTCAGGGTCTGATGGCCACAGTTGAAGGGATGAAGTACAGAAAGGGTGTGGACCTAACTTATGTGCTCCCCTGAGGGCTGATTCTGGTCTGTAGCAGGGACAGTGATGGGACTGGGGGATGAGCTGTGTGCAGAGCAGACTTTGGGTGTGACCTAAACACTGTACATTCTGTTAGACTAGCAGGCTCAAGGGTAGGGCATCAGTAACGCCTCCAAGGCTCCATCCTGCGTTGCTCTTCTCCAGTGGCTCTGTTTGGTGCCAGTCAGAAATAAAGTAGTGAAAGAAATGAGGCTAATTTCTGCGAATGAGGCATGATCGCAGGCAAGGCTTTTACCTTAAGATGATACTTCAAAAATTAAGAATCGTGCTTGCATGTGCAGAGCCTTCTAGTCACGAGGAGGAGACTGGGGGGAAGTTTAAACAAGGACCCCTGGTAAAGAGTCGGGTGCACCGCTGTGCTTGGGAAACACTGGCACATTAGATTCCATCAGGGCCCGTGCCCAGGGTAACCTACTTTCCAGGTTCTATACAGTGTGAGAGCTGCTTTGAGGATATATGTAATCTGATGAGATCGTTCTGACAGGTGTTGTTTTGAAGATGCACCATTATTCTCTCTCAGGAAACGGAGACAGGGAAGACTGTCTTCCCTTGTTCCCCGCACCCTCAGGCCTTGGCAGTCTCACCCAACACACTCACTGAACTCCAAGGCACTGCGAGTCAGTCAGTCTGGATTGGAGTCCTGGGGACACTTCCCAACATCAGCAGGAACTGAAGCTGTGCCCCGTGGGGACGAGGCAGTGCTGAGCCTGGTCCCGTGTCTCACCTGATAATGACCACATCAAACCCTCAACAGGGTCACTGGTCTTGACTGGTCTTCCCTGTTCCTTATTCTCTAAATTTCCTTGGTGAACAAAGCTTGGCATTTTATGGACCCGCAGACAGACAGGATGAAGTGCCAGCCCTCGCCACCCCAAACAGGATTCTGCACAGCAGGGAGGGTTCACTGCCCTTCCGACTGGTCAGCCTGTCCTTCCCAAGCATGCTGATAAGGACTGGGGTCGGGGTGCTACCCTGTGAGAGGATTTGGGGAGGGGGAGATGCACACCATGCACGCATGCACATCAGTAAGCCTGGAAACCCAGGCGCAGCACAGGTCCTAGGGAAGGCCGAGATGGCGGCACGGGCAGAACCATTTTCAGGTTAGTAGTTTTGACATGGGTTCATTTTCTGCAAATGCTTTTTCCTATTCACATGGACACCTGCTAAAAGAGCCAGTGGAGGTGTTTCTTGGAAAAATGCAAAGCCCTCCATCACCCCAAACAGGATTCTACATAGCAGGGAGGGTTCACCTCTCCATTTTCCAGATAAGGATGATAAATCAGAGATGGTCAATAATTTTCCTGAAAGCTATACAATAGCTAAGTGCTGGGAGCCAGACTTGGGACAAAGGCCATCCAGGGTACATGAGTGTGGCCAGGAGCCCACCCCCTCATTTTAAGGGACCTCAAATTATAGGTCTGTCTTCTATGATTTAGAGTGCAGATAGTCATCTAAATGCAATATAAGAGTCTCTTGTTCAACCAGCTAGTACATTAAGTCTATCTAAACATTCATTTTCTAATGTGAAATGAAGTTTTTTTCTTAAAAACTATCATTTATGTCTGTAGCACTTAATTGGAATGCAGAATACTTCTGTTCACCTGAGTCTCCTCAGCAGGTGTGATTTCTATTTGAAGGAGGAAACGGAGGGTCAGAGGGCGTTGTAAATGTGTTCAAGGTCCCAGGGGCAGAGCTAGGGGACTCTCAGGCCACACTCTACCCACCTCATAGGTCTCTGTTCCCAGGCTTCAGGAATACAGTGCTTTCCTAACTGACCAGTCAAGATGCAGTGGTCAGGTTCACATGGAAGGACAGGAGGAAAGGTGGCAAACCCACACCTTCCAGGTGGGCCCTGCTGTCAGACATCTATGTTCAAATCTGAGTCTGCCAGGAACCAGCTGGTGGGTAGGTGCTTAGCCTTTCTGAGGCCAGGTTTCCTCCTCTGTGGAATGGGCTAGCGCAGACCCTACCACACCAGGTGACTGTATGCTTATGAGTACACACACACACACACACACACACACACACACACTGCTTAGCACACAGAAAGCACTCCATCAATGTTAGCTGTGGATGGTGATGATGACAATGACAACACCACCCCACCTGTCCCATGCACACTGCCGTGCACATTCATGACGGGTCCAGCTTTGCTTCACTGTGGATCCTACGGCCAGGGGTGGTTACTGCTTATTGGAACAGAAGGGTTTCCAAAGTAAGCAAAGAAAGGGCCTTGCAATCGCTGGACTGGACGTGAGGAAAATCTCTCCAGGCCCTTCCTCTGTTTGGCTTGAGGGTTTGACATGGTTTAGGCAGCAACTTAGCTTCCGAGCCCACTGAAGACAAGAAGAAACAAATGCAAGTGGCACGGTGGCCGAGCACCCTGAGAGCTGCCGGGGGCCCTGGGGAAGAGGGCTGGAGGAGAGGGTGAGGGGCCTTCAGGGACGGGCCACTAGCTCCTCCTCCACTCCCACTTCCGATGCAGCCCATGAAACAGGGACAGAAGGAACACCACCACTGTTGACAGTGGTCAGTGGTGCATAGTGCCATCGAGGGCTGGGAAGGGGCCCATCATGTGCCACTTCCCTCACTTCCTGGTACAGAAGTAGTCAGTATTCAGAAAGGATACTCCCCTAAAATCTCCCTGCAAGTCCAAGTTGCCCAGTGAGCCAGGGGCGGGGTATGAAGCTGTGTGCAGAGTCTCGATTGCACTTTCTAGAGCAAAGCCTCTCAGTTCCATGGAAAGGTCTAGTTCACCAGCAGCACCTTGGGAGGAGCGTCAGGCTGCTCCAAGACCGGGAAGCCCCTGAGGGTATCTGTGCCATGTCAACAGAGGGGGAGAGGCTGCTGTCATACCAGATCCAGTCCTACTAATGGACACTCCCAGTGTGTTCCCGCCTGCTGGTGGGTCAGGCGGGTGAGCACCGGCTGGAAAGAATGTGATCATCTCTGTGGGGGCTTCAATTGACAGCACCATGTCCTCCTCTGCCCCAGGCAGAACAGATGGGGACGATTAAAGTCCACCAAGGACTCCAAGTGCCTCTCCACAGTGGAGGTGCTGAGCGCCTAGGGCAAGGAGCAGGCACCTGCTGTGGGAGTCCATGCAGACCCAGGCATGGCCACTGAGCTCTGCATGTGTGCACATGAGTGTGCATATCTGTGTAAGAGAACAGAGAGCTCAGTTTCAGGAAGAAGGACATGTTTTAATTAGTATTCA